GTAGTTTCAGAAGTGTCTTGTTTTCTCCCCCCCCCCTGCCTATATCACGGAGTGACTGAACCATCAGCTGGCCTGTTGGGTGTCCCTATAATGCCCCACTTTGCCACAACAGCCATGATGGTAGATGCAGCAGACATGATGGAGCTGGACTAACAAGTTCTGGAGGTGGCTTCCAAGTGGACGAATTATCAGGAAAATGAGCTTCCGGAGTGTCGAAGGACGAACAGCAGTGCAGCCAAACATCCTTATTTTATATTATATATATATACATATATATACATATATACACATACACACACACACACACACACACAAAATTATATTTATATTTATTTTAAATAAGAGCTTCCCCCATGCTTCCAGCCTACTGATCCCGTCTTGAAGGAAGAAAAGTTCCATGGCATCTGTACCTAGCCCATTCCTCATTGCAGCCACAACCAGTTCATGTTCTCAGAGGTCACTGATTCATGCACATTGGCTGCCAGTGCAACCAGCAACCTGCCCCCAAGCTACTCTCCTCCCATCCCACCATAAGGGCAACTGAGGCCACCCTGCAGGACCTCTCCACTGCAAGACTCACATAGGTTCTTGAGGAGGAGAGGGAAAGGGGCAGCTACAGAAAAAGCTAAAAAGAATAGAAGTGCAGGAAAAAAGGAGGATGAGAACAGGAAGGAGGGTGGACTGAAAATGGCATCAGTGATGGGTACATAAATTACACTGGCCATTCCATTGCAAGGAAGCTCCGAGAGAGGAGTGATTTAGCCGAAGTTTCTGGCAAAGCAAACCCCATTGAAAAAGTCTTTACTTGCAGATGGATTGCCCAATATATATGCCCAAATTAGGCTGTGCACTTAAACAGAAAGGGGCAGCAGATGAGTTTACATATCGGCTGTGTCTAGACTGTATCCCTTTTCCGTGAAAGGGATGCAAATTAGACACATCACAATTGCAAATGAAGCGGGGACTTAAATCCCCCCCGCTTCATTTGCATAAACATGGCTGCCGCTTTTTTCCAGCTCAGAGCTTTGCCGGAAAAAGCGCCAGTCTAGACGGGGATCTTTCGGAAAATAAAGCCTTTTCCGAAAGATCCCTTATTCCTCTTAAAAAAAAGGAAAAAGGGATCTTTCGGAAAAGGCTTTATTTTCCGAAAGATCCCCGTCTAGACTGGCATTTAGACTGGCGCTTTTTTCCGGCAAAGCCCTGAGCCGGAAAAAAGCAGCAGCCATGTTTATGCAAATGAAGCAGGGATTTAAATCCCCGCTTCATTTGCAATTGTGATGTGTCTAATTTGCATCCCTTTCGCGGAAAAGGGATGCAGTCTAGACACAGCCATCTTGTGTTAAGAGCCTTCCAGGAAAGGCAAGTCTAGAGTGTTGCCCACACTGAGGGTTTTACTGCACTGTGCAGGGGAGAAGGCATACAAGCCATGGGAGCCTTCCAGCCAGCATGCAGAAGATCCCTTACTACTCGGGAATCCTACAAAAAAAACCCTACCATTCAGAAGCCATCTGGACAGCAATTTGCCCTGCACACACATCTACATGCTACAGAACTGTATTATGCTCCAGTAGCAGAGGGAGATAAGTAGTAAAAAACCTGAAAAAGCAGAAGGTTTTTAAGATGCACGCGGAGGTCACTGCTAGTTTTAATTGAGCAGTAAAGCCTCTGACAAGACACACCTGTCTTCTTGGAGATGTCCAGTTGCAATGCAGACATGTGCAAGATATTAGAAAAGGTTGTTAGTGCTTGAGTGCAGCTACAATTACGTTGAACAGGGATGCATTAAAAGGATTGTTCTGCCGGTTTAAAGCATACTTGTTTGGGACTATGCCCTGTAACATGAACCTCTTGCTGAGCAGTTCCTTGGTCAGCAGGGCTCAGGAAGTCAAAGCTAGGGATGTTACTGTATAGCTGCATAAATGATTGACTGATAAGCCTGGGTTTATCAGTTGATCCCAAGAACTAGATGCACTTCCCCACTTGCTGCCTCTCTATGAGAGGCAGCAAGGAGCAGGAGCGAGGGGAGGAAAAGGAGCTGCACAGGGTGGCACAGGGCTCCTCAAGAGCAAGGCTGGATGCACACTGGCTGCCAGCCCAGCCCCCAGGGACCATCAAATAATTATGTAACAGCTAAGATTTGGTGCAGTTACACGATTATTCAATCAAACTATTTCTAACATCTCTAGTCAGAGCTGCAACAGCATCTGATGCAGTTTGTGCTTGGGATTGCGAGTCCAGAGATTTGGGCTCTGATCCTCTGTCCCTGCTCAAGCAGCAAGTTAATTGGCATCTTGAGACAAGGTGCAGATCACTAGCTGTGTTTCAGCTTCTAAAGCTGAGAAATTGTCCATCACAGCCCCGTTTGGATATTTACAGCAAGTTTTTACAGCTTGGAAGAGAGGCAATGTACAGGAACAAGAGACTGTTCCATTGTTTCCTTCCCCCACCAACAGTCCACCATTAACTCTGCTCCCACCTCCACAGAGCTATCAAGTACAAACCTGAGAAGCTGCTTCATTTCTCCAGGACACTCTACAGTCTCGTCACAGCCTTTCTGCAGTGTTTACTGGCCTCCCCTGCT